CACACACAGTAAAAAGAAACTGTTAAAATAAGTCCAGAACATGTAATTTTGGTACACTATATCAGGATTAATTTAAAACAGTACCCTTATCCATATAATTCTTTCTCTTATTTCTTATGCATAATAATAACACAACTTTCTCTCTCTCACTGATGTTTTAAAAGATCATGTATGCTGATGATACATACATACACAAATAGCCACTATATGATTTTAATTTAATAATATTTAGAGAATGGCCAACATTCTGCTGCAAATTCATAAGGGAAATAATGTAAATTAAGTGCATGCCCAGGAATACAACATCACCTCATTGATGAGTAGTAATCATCAAGACTGCAAGTGTAAATAGCAACAGAATTTTGGCCATTGACTATTATTATGTGCAAATCTGACAACCTCTAAGCAGACCTTCTCTGTGAATTTTCCTTGCTGTATTCCCCAGTGTGTTTTGCCACCTCTAAGCATGCTTGTATCGCTGGGTCTCATGGTTCATGATCGTGATACATGTTATACCTAGGTTGTTATGTGCCCTAGCTGTCGTTTGAGTGTCCCATCTCTTGTCCAGATTGTTTCCAGAGCATTCTCTATTGACTTTTTCCACACACTTTTGATAGGCTACAAAAGACAGAGTTCCTGTGGCTGTTATGCCAAAAGCCAAGTCACATTCATGTTTCATTTGCTGGCCCTGGATCATGTGAATCGTCTGTGATTAATTATCTAAGTTAACAAAGCATATACCCCTCTGATTCATAGCTTCCGGACATGTCATAATATTCCATTTAGAGAGATCAATTCATTTGGGGTTTGTCCTTCAGTGCTGACATATAAATACACAACCTCAATGGAAAAAACTCAGATCTTGGATTTCTTTTTTGGAAGTAACTCCCAGTGTCACACTGTCCATACTAAGTGGATGGCTCTGAGAGTTGCAGTCCAAAACACACACAGACACAGACACAGACACAGACACAGACACAGACACAGACACAGACACACACACACACACACACACACACACACCCTTTCCCTAGCTTCAGACAAATTATTATAAAACATTGGTTCATCACATAATCAACATTACACTGAGACAGGGATCTCTGAGGAAAACATAAACAAGGTACAACTTACATTATGTTGGCTATCACAGCACAGCCAGATGTAATGAGCATGACTGTGCCTTCGATTTTATAATCTGGGTGCAGCAGCCTCAGGATGGATAAATATGTCAACACAGCAGTCACCAGCCAAATGAAGATCACCGAGAGGAAAGCTCCAAGAATTTCTAGTGGTTGAAATAAATATTTAAGAGTAACATTCCTAAAATATCTATCCATGTTAATGAAAGACAGTTATTCATTTAATCAATGAATTACATGCTGTCAAGCTGATATTCATTAGGGGGAACTGTTGCAAGGTGCTCTGGGTATGAAATACTCTGAAGTGATTTACCAGTCTCTCCTTTGGGTGGTGCTTTTGGGACTGTGCAGATTGCCTGGAGCCGCACAGCCAGGAAGACATGTAAATCAGTGGTCTCCAACCTTGGGCCTCCAGATGTTCTTGAACTACAACTCCCAGAAACCTACACCACCACCTCGGCTGGCCAGGATTTCTAGGAGTTGAAGTTCAAGAGCACCTGGAGGCCCAAGGTTGGGGATCACTGATGTAAAGAGTGAGAATATATATATAGTATATATAGAGGGCATGTCTACAGCAGTTTTATTATTCCAAGAAACTCTAGCAAGTATAGTTTTCTGAAATAAGTCAGAATGTCAATTCTCACTCTTTTCTTGAGATTCCTAATTTGCAGGAGTGCTTTTGGAAATCATGACTACATGAGATAAGCAGCTTTGAGTGTAGAAAGGGAGCTCCCTGTGGTTTTAAAAATGGCTGTTTGTGATAGTACCTTGTTTCCCGCAAAAATAAGACCTAACCTGAAAGTAAGCCCTATTATGATTTTTCAGGATGCTCATAATATAAGCCCTACCCCAAAAATATGCCCCAGTTAAGTGAAACCCCGCCCTTCACCATCGTGCAGCAACCTGAAGAAGATGACATGACTGTATTTGAATAAATGTAGATGGTTATACATGAAAAAATAAAACATTCCCTGAAAAAGAGTGGTAGAATATACCAGATGGGCAAGATATAAATCGAATGAATGAAGGAATAAATAAATAAATAAAAAGCTCTAATGTGTTTTTGGAGCAAACATTAATATAAGGCCCTGTCTTATTTTCGGGGAAACATGGTACATTCTACCCTCCTGTATCTTGCAAAACAGCATGCTTTCTTTTGTGATTGGTCATCAGAAGGTAAACATGGACTTTATTTGGAGGTCTTATTGCTCAGGCACATGGCTGTGGAGAAATACCATCACTGGAAGAATGTCCTATCAGCTTCTAAATGCAAAACTGCTATGATGTATCATTAATGCAAACATCATGTTCATCATCTGCTGCCAATTCTGACTTATGGCAACCCTTTCTAGGTTTCCTAGTTAGAGTAATCATAAATGGTTTACCATTCCCTTCTTCTGGGGGCATCCTAGGACTGTGCAGCTTGCCCAAGGCCACACAGGTTGGCTGTTCTGAGTTGTAAGTGGGGAACTGAACACCCAACATCTGGCTCCACAGCCAAATACCTAAACCATTGAGTTTTCCAACCAGCCTACTGCTATATTAGGGATATCATAAGATGTTAGTTATGTGGCAAGAGTGGTTTTATCAGTTCCACTCTGGCCTCCAGAATCCTAGTATATCACTTTTTCCACTACACCACACTGGGTATCATATTACCATATTTTAATCAAACATATTCTGCCAAAGGCTGTACTAGAATCAACATCTTAGAGTCTCTGAGGGGAGGGGAGGAAATCAGTATCTGTGCAATGTCAATCAGATATTTGTAGCTGGTAATTCTTCAGACATTTTTTTTCCTTCTTGTGATATGACCTGTCATAAAAAACTTCATGCAGATATCCACTTGACAGTGTTGGACAAATGGAGGAAAATTTTCCTGTTTTTGGACGCTCGTACTGCATAATATTTTGGTACCTGCTCTTTGCCATCCATATGTTAATCTCTTACTGGGCGGTTTTGATGATAACCACAGAGAAAAAATGCTGATGAGGAAACTCATCAAGTCAACCAAGACGTGAGCGGCGTCTGTCATCACGGCGAGGCTTCCCGCAATGTGGCCACCTGGGTCAAAGCAACCATGATCATTATTGAATCCAAGGAAACAGTGCTGATTAATATTTCTCACAAACACATAGATATGCAGAGGATATGATGGTGCGGTAGATCCAGAATCTATCCGCTAGACTATTTGTATCACTGAGGGATTCTAGAAATGCTCATCTACAGACATATCTTCTCCAGAATCTGAGAACATTACTACAGAGTAGCACAAGCACACAGTAATGCATATGCTGACCTCCTTTTGCAAAGAAAAAATGTATGAGTGACTTAATACTTCTCTGAGCATTTGCAAATGCGTTGGATAATTGAGCCTCCCAAGATCCTGAGGACTGGAAGATCACACCCAGATGTTTATAATTGAGGACTGGAAGATCACACCCAGATATTTTTAAGATTTTACTTGTTCAATTGGGTGGTCATTTATTTGCCATTCATGTGTGATCCCTTTCCTAGTAAACACTAACACTTTTAATTGATCAGAATTAATTACTAACTCCTCAGTTTTACAATAATTGCCCAGGGCTCTTAATAACCACCATAAGCCAACACGGGTTAATGAGAGAAGTATAACACCATCTGCATATAAAAGAGTAGATAGGGGTTTATCTGCTAGTTTAGGGGGATGAAAGTTGGTTCCAGATAAATTCTTAGCCAAGGAGTTAATACAGATGTTAAACAAAGTGGGAGCCAATAAACAGCTTTGTTCGACGCATAATGTATATTGTAGTTGTGTTGATTCTGTTTATTCTTATGCAGTTATTCTGTGTTATTCACATCTGATCTGTTGATCATACAAATAAATTAAAGTAATGCATATATATTATGCCAAAAATGAACTTTTATTTACTATAGCATATTGCTTATTCATTTTTTTAAACATTTTTGGTCAGGTGTGAGATGGGCTGGGGACTCAAATAAGAGAAGGAAGTGCTTCTAGGTTTGGGTTCCCTTTGCCTAAGAGGGACTTACCACTGCTCATTCCTTTGCCCTCTTGGCATTGTCTCTCAGACAAACTAAGAGTGAAATGCATGTGGCCCTTAATGCCCCAGCAAAGACCACTTTCCAGACCATAACAGGAAAGAGAATGGTCTTTGACGTTTCAACCATGAAATGATTCAGTTCTATAATAAGTATAATAAGTAATAAAATGATAACAGGATAATTATAAATATTCCCTTTTTTTGGAGTACAGCTCCCATAAACCCTTCCTCCAGAGCCCTCAGCTCTGCCTACAGTGGTGCCCCGCTTGACAACAATAATCCGCTCCAGCAAAATCGCTGTACAGTGAAATCGTCGTCAAGCAAAAAAAAACACAAACCATTGGAATGCATTGAAAACCGGTCAATGTGTTCTAATGGGGGAAATACCTGCTTGTGCAGTGAAGATCCTCCATAGGGAAGCCATTTTGCAATCCCTGTCTTGCGAAAATAGGTGAGCAAAACAGCAGGGAGCCATTTTGTGAACCGCCAATCAGCTGTTTTTAATCGTCGTAATGCGAAAAAATGGTTCCCGAAGCAGGGACTGAAATGACGTAAAGCGAAAAAAACCCATTGGAACCATCATTTTGTGATCGCTATAGCGATCGCAAAAAAAGGCATCATGAAGCGATTTCGTCATCAAGCGGGGTCGTCGTAATGCAGGGCACCACTGCATTTCATATTCATAAAGCCCCCTTCTTGTACTACACTGAACGTGGCAGGATGAACAATACTGCAGGATAACTTCCTGCAACAGATGCAAAACAGAAGAAGCTGTGAGGAACTCTATGGGTGGGGTTTATATGGTGGCACCCTTCCATGTTTATAAGGTAATATAATAAGTAGGGTTTCTCTTTATCTCAAATTTGCATTTTAGTACATTTTGGTGAATCATAGTTGACTGGCCAAGAATGAAAGGAAAGGAAATTCCCACCTATTTCTGTTAACAGGGACGCTTTAGGCTCTACTACTACTACTGCTCCAGTTGCATTTGCCCTTAAGAACAGGATAAAAGGATTATGTTTCTGCTCATTACTTGAGAGACAAATGATTCATGCAAAATAGCAGCTCTTTTCATTGCTTTGTAATGATGCCCCAGCAAATGGCTTTTGCAGTTGAGCCTTACTGATGGTGACTGTTTATTGCTTTGTACATCAACACAGCAACGAGAGCTGTCCCTCGCTCAGTGGTCGATCATCCAACAAACGCTGTCTAGACTCATTAAAAAAAATGTAATATGGTTCATTAATTGCAATATTTCCCAGAGACTGCTGTCTCTATCAACAGTTAACGATTGGCTTATCGGAGCTTAAAGGTCTGCAGCAATAACAGTCCTCTGTCATTTGCTACGTAAGCTGTGGCTGTGAAAACTGAGATACTTTTATAATGAAGAGAAGGGGGTGGAGGGAGGCCTTATGGTGCTAACAAATAATCTGTCAGTTCAAATATTTTCTAAAGCTGATGAATTCACTAGCCTTAAGGTGGGTTGTTTATACAGGTTTCTTAATCTTGCACAACTTTGACAAATGATTACAAGAGTTAAGCAGCATGTGGCAATATTTAGGAGGTACAATTCTTCTAACCAAACTGAATGAAATATTTGTCTGCACTACAAACTTAAAACCTCATTCCTCGAACTTGGGAAAGTGGTGGTTCCAGTGCTCACTTGCACTTATTTAGAAGCACATAAGCTGGGACAAGCGTGTTAACACCACTAACCCCTCTGTGCTATTCTTATTGCCACCTTCCACCCGTTGGATAGGGTTGAAGTCTGCACCAGAGAGCTTATTGCTCTGTGGGCAGGTTGTCTAGGTGGTTTAGATCCCTGATCCTGCAAAATCCCAGTTTGTAGGAAAAAAATAATATTCCCCCTCTTCTTCTCTTCATTAAATACATACAGTATATCTCGCTATACTCTAATTCTTAAGCTTCTGTACTCGAAGGTCAAGTGTAACAAGGCCTCATTCAAGAGAAAATAGCTGACCAAAGGAATTTTGCCCACCTGCCGCAGCAGGCACAGTAACTGCTCTCTTACAAAAGGGGAAGGCTGGAAAATGAATCTGCCTCTGCTTTGTCTGGGAAGGGAGCAGATGAGGAGCCAAAGGGGGGAAGTTCGCTTCAAAACTTTTTTTTTTAATTTTTATTTTTCCCAAAGGAATTTTGCCCACCTGCCGCAGGAGGCACAGTAACTGCTCTCTTACAAAAGGGGAAGGCTGGAAAATAAATCTGCCTCTGCTTTGTCTGGGAAGGGAGCAGATGAGGAGCCAAAGGGGGGAAGTTCACTTCAAAACTTAGAGCGGTAAGCTTATTTAGAAGGCTGTGGCATAAGGGGTGACAAAAAGGAAAAGGGGACTTAGGAATTTATGGGGAAAAAGAGAGACCATAACATGCTAACAACCATTCTGAGCTTATTGCCATATCATAGTTTTAAATTGTTCTGTTTTCTCTTTTCTGCCTTTTAGATTAAGTTCTCATTTCAATATATGCTATTTACACATTGCCTGTTAATTTGGTCCATTTGTTGAATAGGTCCCATCTTTCTGTTGCCTTTTGTAGGGGGTAGTCCTTCATGACTTCTGGTAAAATGTCCATTTCTGCTATTTCCCGTATTTTTTCAATAAGGTCTTCTTGTTTCGGTTCACTTCAAAACTTAAAGCGGTAAGCTTATTTACAAGGCTGTGAAAAGGTGCCTCAATTACCCAAATGTTTCGTATACAAATGTGCCTCTGACTATCACATGTTAATATGCAAGGTTAGCCTAGAGTATGAGTGTGGGTCAAACTACCCCAGACTTTCTTTGGCAATGGAACTTGGTGTTTCCGTTTCAAGATCTTGTTATGGCTCATGACCTGTAAAGGTCACGTGGCCTTTTCCTGCTATTGAGATGGCAGGATTTGAACTAATCAAGGTTCCTGCCTTCTCTGTTTCTGCAGAATCTATCTTCCTTCATTAAATCCTATATACAGTGGTGCCTCGCTAGACAATGATAATCCGTTCCACTGAAATCGCTGTTTAGCAAAATCATTGTCTAGCGAAAAGCATTTCCCCGTTGGAATGCATTGAAACCTGTTTAATGCGTTCCAATGGGGAAGAATCATTGTTATCTAGCGAAGATCAGCCATAGGAAAGCCACTTTGCGAACCGCCGATCAGCTGTTTAAATTGCTCTCTTGCGAAGCTTAGGTCCCAAAAATACCTGTTTTGCAAGCGCGGAGGGAGCTGTCAAAATCGTCGTCTAGCGAAAATCGGTTTGTGAAGCAGGGACCAAACATTGACCAGCGAAATTCCCCCATAGGAATCACTGTTTTGCGAATCACTATAGCGATTGCAAAAAGTCAATGTCTAGCGAAAAAACTGCCATGCGGGGTAACTGTATTATAAACTGTATTATAAAATCCATATTTCTGTGTCAGGTTGTGGTATTTCATCTTTCCCTCCCAAAAGAGGTTCCTGCCGGCGTCAATGCAGCTACCTTTTTACAATACATTTGCACCTGGAGCTTAAGGATGTGTTGTGGGCTTTTCAGAGCAGACTGCCACCCGGATGCCGGAAGAGCTATAGGGCTTGCCAACAGGTGTTCTATGAATAGAGTGGAATGGGTGGGTGGGATGCCTCCCTGTTTTTCCCCACTTATTATTTTAATTGTAGGAGGGCTGGAACACATGAACCGGGCATCGTTTTAGCTGAAACCTTATGCATTTTTCATTGGAAACTGAGTTGAGAAAGTATCTTTCAGATGACATATCCCAGGATCTCTTACCAGTATGGAGATGTATCTAAAATCAGCAAAGGTAGAATTTTGAAGTTCTGCCATCGAGTTAATTTCATTGCATTCACTTCATTCCAATGTATTTTTAAAACAACAACAACAACAACAACAACAAACAGTCTAAACAGGAAAAAATGACATTTAGGAGCAAAAATACAGGAACAAACAGATAAAGACATGTCCAAGAACATGTTAAATTACACTCTTCAAATGTGTAAATATGGGCAATGCAAAGCACGTGGCCTGCAAATGCTTTTATCCATATGCATTCACCTGGAGGTCTTTATCTTGTTCAGCCCTCCATGCCTTCATATTCAACCTCTGAATGTGGGAGCATAATAAAGGGTCATTACACTGGGATTTTTTGCAGGGCAATGACCATTTATTCCATTATTTCTAAGTGAGGTACTTGGAAATAGCTGGTTGAAATGGGTCCTTGGTTAGTCTCTCTGTATATCTGTCTGCCAATATTATGTTTGTTATATTATCTGCTTTCAAGTCGGAACTGATGTATAGCAACCCTAACAGGGCTTTCAAGGTAAGTGAGATATTTAAGGAATAGTTTTACTAGTTCCACACGCCCAGTGAGTTTCCATGCCTCAGCAAGGATTCAAACCCAGGCCTCTTGAGTTCTAGTCTGTCACTCTGTCCATTACACCACACTGGGGTGTCTGTCCATAGATACATAAATTTACATACTGAGAGAGAGAGAGAGAAAGACAGACAGAGGACACTCACCTATGATTTCAGCAATCATGAAGATAAAAGAGATTACTGAGGCAACATAAAGCCTCCGCTTGGCTTGACGTCGTTCCTGCTTTCTGTTCTCATCCGCCTTTGTGTAATTGTGGCAGTGATGCATTGGATGAGCCGGAGGATCTGCTGGCTCTTCATAGCGGTTCTCTTGGTCTGAATGATCTGTTTGCTGATCAGTGCTATGCGTGCGAGACGAACAAAAATCGTAACTTCACACTGGGTGGGAATTAGTAGGAGCAGCTGTACATTTCTACTCTTATACCCCTTCTCAGTTGTATGTCAAAGGAAAGTGGGCTGTGAAAAGCAATATCACACTGTATTATTTGTTTAGCTTCTAGAAGAAAATAAAAGAAAGGATCCAGTTCTTGTGAAATAACCCAAAAAGCTGTCACACACAAGATGGAACAGGCTGATCCTAACACAGAGTTGGGAAGGTATAGGCACCAGGGCCCCCAGTTTGCCCCCTCAAATGTTCCCACACTCTCCCAACCTCCCTGAACCCCCAATACCCCTTTTTCCTCTTCCCAGAGCCCTTTAGGACACAATTTGCCATGTAAACACAATATCTTCCCCAGCCTACCCCTAGGATGTTTGAAGCCTTAAAGACCTCTTTTTTAAAAAATGGAAGTGCGTGGTAGGTAGGTAGGTAGGTAGGTAGGTAGGTAGGTAGGTAGGTAGGTAGGTAGGTAGGTAGGTAGGTAGGTAGGTAGG